CATTCCAACTTGAAAACGTCTGCTGATTCGATGAAGTTAACTTATGATAAGAGATCTACTGAAGTCAGCTTTGAACTAGGAGACAATGTGTGGTTGTATAATCCCAGGAAGACCAAAGGGAAGTCTCCTAAGTTGTCTTCTCCATGGGAAGGCCCATATGACATAGTGGATCGTCTCTCAGACGTGACTTTTCGGATAAAATGTGGTCGGTGAGGTAAGCCAAAAGCGGTGCATGCCAACAGGCTTTGGTGTTATTATGGTCCAAGACATTTCAGTTGGAACGAAGTGAACAACAGAACAAATGACGCTGCTGAAGACGTGTTACCTGAAGAAGCAACTGTCAAAGAAGAAACTCTACTCCGTTTTGAGAAGGGAAACAGTGAAGCCCTTGATGAAGTTACTACCACTGATGTGACTGTTACCGATGATAGGACATTTCCTGATGAAGCAAATGAACCCCACATGAAGCAGAAGCCAACGAGACGGATGCCAGTACTTCAGAAGATACGTCCCGTAAAATTAAGAGACTTTATTGAATTGTAATTTTGTGTTTGTAAATTCTGTACATCTAATTAAGTTATTGTTAATTGTTTATTGGTTTAATGTAAGTGGCTATTGTTCGTCCCGAACAATACTAAGGAAGGGGCAGTGTTACGACAGCGGAGGTCACGTGACGCTAGTAACACGTCACGCGCTTCTAGAACGTTCATGAAGCGTCGGGAGACTACTAGATATGGGGTGGTCTTGTATATATATAAGACCGGCCAAGAAGCGACGGGAACACGGTGTAATTGAACTGCGGACATTGTTGAGTTGAGCACGTGAGACGTTCGTTGTGAATTATAGCGTTTGTTATAGCGCGACTGTTGAAATTAAGTGTATCGCAAAGTTGTATTCAGAAAGAATAAACCAGTTTTATTTAAGAAAGGACTTGTATCAGTAAAGTTTATTCGGAAAGAATTTTTACGGAAAATTAACTAACGAACGGAGGCGTAACACTACAAATAAACATTCTTACAACCCCAAGAACAATTAGCCTTAATAAGACTTAGAAACTTTTAATTAGATTTGTAAAGTCCTTTACAATCACAATAAAGTAATATAAAATAATTTAGGTATTTGGATAATGTTAGAGCTCGTGCCTAAATCATTATTCATTGTTATATATCGGACCAAGTATTTAATGATTACATATATATATGTTACAGATTTATTTTCTTTCTCACCAAAGGTTGGGTTGAAAAAAAAATCTGTGACGTAGAAGCCTAATGCTTACTTTGATGAGTACGGCCAATCAAAGAAAGCAATTATGGCCTCTACTTCACAGATTCTTTTTTCAATCCTACGTTTGGTGAGAAAGAAAAAAAATCTGTAGTATATATATGTAATCATTAAATACTTATAAACTTTTGTTTACTACAGGTAGCAACAACAAGCTTAATATGTCAAATGCACGTTGTTGAATTGTAAGCAATATATTCGATTTGAATTAATTATTTACAGCAGTTGAAGCTTTATAATATTACACGTTACAGCTTTTACAAGATTATTAAAAATTGTTAATTTAAAAAAGGGGGAATATGATTCTTCAAAAAATATAAAAATAAGATACCTAGCTTAAGTGAAAATGCAATCTCAAAAAAAGTAAACACAGTACCGTGGTTAATGATATAAGCAATCCAATGAACCATGTTTCAAATATTATGTTAATGAAAAGACAAGTCCAAATGACGAGGTTACCTATAAATAACAAGGCTTACGTTTGGTTACCCACAACTTCTTGATGAGTCTGATTTTAAACAAGAAATGCACCTTCTAGCATTAGTAATGAAATGAATATACAGCTTGTAAACATCCATAACCTTCTCATAGCTGTGCTGAAATGCGTGGCAGTGATTTGATTTTGAAAATCTAAGAATGTGACAATAGAATTCATTCCGTGACCTAATAAATGAGTAGTTTATTGTATCAAGGATTTTCTCACATTTTTTTAAAAAGAAAAGCAAATTTAATTCATTGAATTGTGATCGTTCTTTTCCGATAGAAACGATATTGTCATGTTAAAGTAAACCCAGCAAGTTAATATAACACTACTAATGAGCTTATTAAACCCTCTCTTCCACTAACCATGTATATGATTTTTAGACACAGTTAAGTAGAAGCGAGCACTAACAGGACACGGTGTTGGAACTGGAATTATAACATTTTAGTGATAGCGACAAAGAATGAAACCAATTTCAGAACGTTGTTAAATATTATTCAATAGTAAAAGTAAGACGCTAGAATCCGGAAAATCATATTATCAAGATCATTTGATGTTTCGACTTACCATAACGGTTTTTACCAAAATTGTTCGGTGTCGTGTTACACTGTTGTAAAACATTCAGGCTTTACTTCCAGTCATGCTCGTTACTTAAGTACTATTTTTGATTCCATTCCAACCAAAAGAAAATGTTTTCAAACCAAATTTAACCTTTTTTTTCCTATTAACTGTAGTAGTTGCTAGTAACAAAATGTGTATATTCCAAAGTTGTAGTTTCATTCTACATAAATTAGTAATGTTAATTTTTATAAAATATGTATGGGTGGGTGGGAAAAAAGGCAAACAGAAATTAAAGTTATTTTCCCACTGTCAATAGGTATGTTTAGTTGCTCGCATGTAAATCCCCTCCACCTCTTTTTTTAATAATAATACTAGTTACTAATTGTCAAGTGGTTGTTCTTTTACATTTAAGTAAAATAAGAAGCGCATATATCCTTTAATTGATCTAACTTAATTTCTAGAACCTTCTTATCGTTAGCCGCTTTTGAGAAAATGTCTTTAGCTTTTGTTACTGTATTTTTGTAGACCCTTACATTGTTACGAGCATTTTAGGTTTCTCCGTTACATACCTATAGTAACTACATGACTGTTTCGTTTATTGGTATTTTTGCTGTTGTTGTTCTTGCCCAGAACCCTAAAATATTCTATTAACTTAACTTGTATCAATTTATACTAACCATAATGTACGTTTGTTTAAATTTGAGGTGAATGGTAAAAGGTAAGTAAAAAGTTAATGAACAACTTTCACGTTTAATTCGATTTACTGCTAGCTACATTTGGAATACAAAGCTGAAAGATGAAATCCAAGTATTCTGTTTGACGTAAGAACAAAGCAATGAACTGGTATCTTTTGCACGCTGATAACAAATGTCATAAATAAGATAACATTTGTTTAATGTTTTTTAAAGAATCTTATCTTTTGTAGCATTACGTCGCACCATCAACTTTTCAATTTGAATATATTCAAAATTGTATTTTCCCTTATTTAACTAAGAAACACACCAAAAATTTCTTATCTCAGGTATTAAGAGTTATCAATTAATGAATAAGCTTCTTAGACTATATAGATAATTAGTGGTATACATATGAATACGAAGTTTCATATTTGGACGAAACATTAGTGTTAAATAATAAAACTGCATATTTTACTCTTGGATTTATAACAACACAAATAAGGTACATAAAAACCAATACTTGAAAAACTTATTTGTTGTTACTTCTCTTAACAGTTCACATATTTCTTTGTGAGAACAAAAACCAAAAAATCAGCATGGAATTGTGAAGAAAGAGAACTTTATAAATTAAATGCTTCTTTTAAAAAGAAGTAAACCATCCAACTTATATGTTTTTATAACCTTCATAATATGAAGAAGTTACGAATGCTGTTTATATCGGCATTCGTATTGTTTCACAATACCTACGACATGTCATGTAATACCCGCACTCTCCTCTGATGTCTGGACAGAGAAGACTTTGAGTGAAATGCTACTTGACTTTGGAATAGCTTCACTAAATATTTCCCTATCCGAGGAAGGTCAAACAGAGACATTCCGAGCCACAGCCCCAAGTATCCACCAACCAGGCTAAATATCTCAATAGCCTGAAAAAAAAAGGGGGGGAACGCTCATTAGTTATTCTTGACCTTCAAAGACATTATTTAGCCCACATACACAGTTATATACTATGTGTTTGTGCTAAAAAAACGTCTTTTATATATCATATAACTGGATCGCATAAACATAATTTTTTTTAAAATAAGTACCAATGTTGAGCCTTATCTAGTGTTTAGTAAACTGTTGTTACGTCTCCGTTTGTTAATTAACTTTCCGTAACTTCGTTCCGACGAAACTTTAGCGACACAAGTCCTTACTTAATAAAACTGGTTTATTCTTTCCGAATATAACTTTATGATACATTTAATTTCAACAATCGCGCTAAAACAAACGCTATAACAACGAACGTTAACTTCAACAATACGTCTCTCTCTGACTGCAGTTCAATTACTCATTACCTACACACACATTACATTATTCCCGTCACGTTGTCACCCTCTTTTATATACCAGACTACCCTATATCTAGTAAATGCTAGAGCATTCGCCAAGGTACAAAATACTTCTAGAAAATAGGTGGCGTCAAAATAGTCACGTGATCTCGCTGACGCAACACTGTTTTTCAGAAGCTTTGTCACTTTTTTAGTTTTCACCTCTTTGGTTATTATGGAGAGATTGTGAGATTTACAAGCCAATTATCTCTTCTAATTACTTCTATAGTTTGTGTGTATGGAATTTGAATTGTTCTCCATTACCATAATTAACCTATACGACATCCTTTGAATTCTTTGACAGATTGTTTAGGGAGAGTATTCATGATGAAACTTTGTAGAATGGATGGCAACTGCCTGTTGCTGTCCATTCTACAAATTGTCATCTTTTGCATTTTTCCTTTATGCAGTAGAAATACTTAACCAATTTGTGTGAATCCCAGTGACACCAAACTAAATAATGTCTAATTTTGGTTTAAAAATCATATGGTTTCAGTTATTTTTCTATAATCGTTATGAAATTTTCAAAATTTTGTTGAGAGACAATCTTTTGAAAAAACATTAAGACTACTTTCTTTCGAAATTTAGAAATTCATAAAACTCCATTTTATACATCTCACCCTCTTCCAATTGATTGATATTATTTAATATATTTATTTTGATATTTTATTTTGGAGATTCCAAGAGTCATTACTTCTGGGTATAAATCGTTAAAAACTCGACGAAACCTGACAAGTATTTATTGTCGACGACCTACGATCTGACCACTCACAATGGCGTCAGGTCAGACTAAGTACAATATTAAGATAAATTGGTTGAGATAAATTAGTATCTAAATATCAGTTGTATAGTATAAATACTACAGTTGGATATTTCCATCTACACTGAAACTACGTTCTATTTTATTAATATTTACCTCTAGTCTTGGCCTGTGAATGTACACCTTCTGTTCTGTAGTACCATAGAATACACGAACCCATGCTATGTTCTTCCTTGAAGAAAAATATAAAAGGAATCTTGAAATAATGGTTCGCTATTTGCTTGCAACAATGAATGAAAACACAGTTTTTATCAATTCTAGAATAAGTTATGACTTTCATACACAAACAAATTACTAACACGTAAATGTACTATTGTCAACAGTTTCTGTTGAAACTAGACAAATTGCAGCGGCAGTTTTCTTATCAAATCTTGCTAGAATATGTCACGAGCTCTTGTAAAACTAAAGAGTTTTTCAGCACTTCCCATTGAAGCTACAAATGTTATGTTAGCAGTTTCTATTGAAAAAAACTAAATTACGTGACATGACATGGCCAGGTGGTCACTCGACTCACAATCTCAGGGTCAACCGCAATATTCATTAGTAAAAGAGTAGCCCAAGAGATGGAGGTGGGTGGTGATGACTAGTTGCCTTTTCTCTAGTCTTTCATTGCTAAATTACGGAAGGCTAGCACAGATAGCCCTTGTGTACCTTTGTGCGAAATTCAAAACAGACCAAAAACCAAACCAATTAAATTACGTCATAATTTGTTGTTAAAATTAAATACTTTTCAGTAACACCCAAAAAACTATACAGGTTTGAGAGCAGCTTCTGTCGAAACTAGACTAAGTATGTTAGTAGTTCTTAATGACACTCAACAAAAGTTTGTTACTCTCTTAATGAAACTTAAGGTTCAACGCCTGATCTTTACATCACTTTTTTTCAAATAATCGCTGCAAAATTTTATAAGATTCTTTCAAGCAATGGCTATATTTTTGTCATGCTAGTTATTATGCTAACAAGCGAAGCCGAACATATCTTTAGCATTTCTTGCCCCCTACAAACAACCAAACGCTACTGTTGTTTGTTTGTTTTATAGAACAAAGCCACATTGGGCTATCTGTTGTGTCCACCGCGGTGAATCGAACTCCGGATTCGAGTGTTGTAAGTATGTACAAAAAACCCTCTTTACTTATTAGTTGCTAAAATATTTAATTTAGAACAATCAAATTACATGTAATTCAATGTAACAAGTAAGATCTTTGACAATTCAAGAAACATTCATAAAAATAATTAGCACATCATTTAAACGTACAAACAATTGACCCACCTTGCGTCATCCAAAGTAGAGTAGTTAAGCTCGTCATCCATATCCTGAAAAATTAAATAAGTTATCTCGGTGACGACAATTACTTGTTTAAAAACTGAACACATGTAAAGCTTCTTTATAGACTAATCAACAAAGAAGCTTCACTTACATGTCAAATGTTAGATAAAACTCCTGGGAAAAAAAAGAAGGTTCATATCTGGTGCGATCCTGTGGGATGTCAGGATTTTTTTTGAAAACTTCAAATCCCTCTTTTTCATTTCAAAGTACTAAATGAATTAGTCCAAAGGTTACCTGTTTCAATTATTCATTCGTAAATAATTTCAACAAAAGTACGAATTCAACTAATTAATGAACATTTTCCATAAAAGATAGGACTGGACTATCTAGTAGGTGTATTAAATAAGAATATTAATTGACTCTTCAACCTAAAATAAAGACAGTAGTGTCTCACGGATGTTTTTCAACTCAGAAATTAATACAGCTGATCCTCAAATGTGTCCACTGGTTGGACAGCGGTATGTGTGCGGATTTATAACTCTAAAATCAAGGGTTCGATTCCCCTCACTGAGCACAGCAGATAGCCCAATGTGGCTTTGCTATAAACACACACACACACTCCTCAAATGTTTTCAACAAATAGTGGTTCATAATACGGTTCGCCAAGGAATTTCACAAAACTTCTAATGGAACATAGGGGCAAAAAGCAGACTTGTTCTTGAAACAACATTCAAAACCTTCTATCTCAATGGCTAAGGCTGCTAAAATATTAGTAATAGCAAAAAATTTTACCTTCCGATTGTTAGACAAAATTCATCCATTTGTTCTCCATAGCATTCTTTTCTCATCAGCCTATAGGAAAAAGGCTATGGATACTTTATTTAAGCGTACTAAAAAACTCATGCGCAGGTCTTAGGACTATTTTTATGTTGCTTCTTGAAAGATAAGGAGAGGTTTTATCGGTTTTTTTTTCATCGCTACTGGCCAAGTTTTTCTTCGAAACAGGGCCTGGCATGGCCAGATGGTTAGGGTGCTCGACTCGCAATCGGCGGGTTCGAATCCCCGTCACACCAAACATGCTCGCTCTTTCAGTCGTGTGGGCATTATAATGTGATGGTCAATCCTACTATTCGTTGGTAAAAGAATAGCCCAAGAATTGGCGGTGGATGGTGCTGACTAGCTGCCTTCCCTCTAGTCTTACACTGCTAAATTAGGGACGGCTAGCGCAGATAGCCCTCGTGTAGCTTTGCGCGAAATTTATAACAAACAAATTCTTCGAAGCCTACAGCAAAAACGGGTTGGTATACTGCGCCAAAATCTATGCACAGCTACTAAACAAACACCTGCGAAGGTTAGGGCTATTTTTAAGTTTGTTCTAGAAAGTTGATATTTCGAAGCCATTCAAGCATCGCAGGAATGTAGAAGCCATTTAAGCACCTTTTTACTAGTCGGAAATCTTCTGTTTTATACTAATCGGAAACGCTTCGTTTTATTACAGTAAACAGTTTGTATATTTATTACAGTGTCTCCAGCCTTATTATTATTGATTATAGTTTTACAAGTTGCTACAGTAAAAACGGCTACGAATATTTTATTTAAGTGAGTGAAACCTGGACAGTAGTAACGAATGCAGTATTGTGTCTGTCATAAAGTACCTTTAAAATTAATTCAAGTGTCTTCGTGTTTTCGCCCTGAAGAATTTCTGTAAGTCCTTCATTTTCTGCCATTGAAAAAAATCCGGTGTTTTACAAATGCACATTAGTTGGTAAATAATTTGTGATACTCATAGCGCATTAATTGGAAACTGTCATGTTTAGGATTCATCATTTCTCAAGTTTGTTGTTCTTCATTGTTTCTAGAGTTCGCTGTTGTACTTTGTCTCTTCGCGGTTTAGTGCGACCATTTCAGTGAGTTTTCTAACAGTAGACGATTACCATAATACATTTCTCTACTCTTGTGAATGGTGATTTATTCTACTGATTTTCGTACTTTGCTTATTAAACGCGTGTTTACAAGAAACCTCAGGCACAAAACCTCCTAGCTCAGTAAATATTGTAAATAATGGTTGGGTGGAAAATAATCCAATGCAGCAGTAAACTGTTGAAAAAACATGTGACATTCAACTGAATGCATATGGACGTATGTAGCTTAAAATATATTCTCCATAACTGGACATAAAGAAACTTAAGAAACAAGACAATTAAAAATTGCTAATTTAAAAGGGGAATAGGGATCGTCAAAAAAGTATATAAATATGTTGAATCAAATTACAAATATTATATTTTCAAGCCTACAACTAGGGACTCTAAAAAAGCAAACAAACTGGGCTGAAAGTACTGTCTACATTATTATTTCAAGTTACAGAGCAGGGAGTAGAGTAACTAGGAGGGTCGAAAGGGACAGTTGTCCGGGCGCAGCCCAAAAGTGGACACAGTTCCAGGTATTTTAACAGATATTTGAAATTTAAATCAGATAATATTATTTGGAAAAAATTTCGCCTATATTAAAACAGGACTGTTTTTGTCAAACGTGCTTCAAGTGCAAAAACACCTAGTTATGTCACTGAGGGCAGGCAATATTCCCCTAAAAAGGATAAGCAGTGCGGTACTAAACAGGAGTTGAACGACCACTTGTCCCAAGGCAGGAATGTGACTAGGACTCAGGACTTAAAAATTGGAAAATGGAAGAAAGAGAGAGGGAAATGAGTTGCACAAAAGGGACCTGTGCGTGAGGGGGATTATAGAGGAAAAGCCATTGTACAGGGGCAGTCCCACCCACTCGGCCACAGAAACCAAGATCCAGTGGCACAAAGAGACATTACAGCTGAAGACTTCCTTGACTGCAATGGATGACCATGACTTTTTGGTGCATTCGTGCTCCATAGTGTGTTGCAGCACCGCCTTTGTAGCCATTAAATCAAAGAAGATTTCATCCTTCCAGTCCACCAGTACAGTTTTCACATGCTAGGAACTTCAAGGGGGATAGGAGACCCGTCAGCTACCCTCATTTAGTTTAGCCCCCCCCCCTTCGAAGCGATTTACAAAGGTGTGACCCGCTGTCGCATACAAGCAGCTACTTGGAACCACAGGTGAGAGCTGGATGCATGTGGATACCAAAGCGAACCAACTACTCCAATTGGAGCATGATGTGTTCACCGTCATTGGTACTACACCTCATTGACACTCCATACACACCTGCTACTATAAGAAAAAAACGTAAATATAATGTTTCATTTTCACAAGATCCAATCTTTACCAGCTACTACGCAAGTGTATACATAATTTAATTTTACATGTATTCAGAGTATAGAGTCTCTGTTGTATTTATCGTCGCTAACTTCGCACCACAACTTGTTAAAATACTTACATATATATTTTTATGTCTCTGTTCCTTTGTTAATTTCCCGTAAAAATTCTTCCCGAGGAACTTCAGCGATACAAGTCCTTTCTTAAATAAAAACTAGTTTTTCTTTCTCAATACAACTTTACAATACACAGAATTTCCACTATCATTTTAACTTAAACACACGCTATAATTCACAACGATTCACGCACTTTACTTGCGGTCACTACCGCTCACTTGAGTCAATTATCTTTCTCTATATCTGTCTATCTGCAATTCTATCTCCGCTTTATTTGCCGGGCTTATATATTAAAATAGAGGGCGCCTAGAAAAGACTAGAGTTGCCAGCAACAGTCATGATC